AGATTGCCTAAGCCTGAGGTTCCTCAGTTGTCATACACACCTACTGTGAGTGCAGCATTCCTCTGAGCCCCTCCTCGCCCGCATGGTAATTTGGGAGCAAGAGGAACCAATGTAAACAAGAAGCTCTTTTCCTCTGACCCAGGAACCTTGTGTCTTCCGCCAGCACCTACGAAACTGGCAGGCTAATATGTTACCTTTCAAACAGGGTGAAATCTGAGGCCCTTCACTCTGAATTACAAAACTGAAAAGTGAGAACATATTTAATCTCAGTAGAGTAGTAACACAAACACAAATGTCTCTTATAGGAACACTATACTCCTTTAAAAAAAGTATTTGTTTTCCAGTGTTTTTCTTTCTTCCCATATTAGTGCTGAGTTTCATGAGCGGCTAAGTAAAATTGATAAGCTGAAGAGCAGATATGAAATTCTTACTGTTGTTATGCTGCCCCCTGAAGGAGAAGAGGAGAAGACACAGGCCTATTATGTAATAAAGGTACTCTTAATCGATTTACGCTTGTGATAGAATGAAGTATCCTTTCTTGGTTAACAACCAGAATAGCTTTTTTTTTTTTTGCCATGAAATTTAAAATGTTAGAGCACTGTGGTAGCTATTGCACTTAATTAGGGCCATAAAACATTAGTTGCTAATGGAAATACTGAAGCGCTGTTAGTTATACACCTCCTGCCTGTGAGGTCACTGAGAGGTCTGGGGCACTACTTTGACACTTTTTTTTTAACCGTCTTTGTGTCCTGTCATTTTCCCTCATTTATTCAAGATTCATAATCTCTTTTACCCTGAGACCTACTATCACTCCGGGTGTATTTAGCATACGTGTGACAATCTGCTCAACACTTCAGGCTCAAAGCTTTTACTTCACTATAGCCTCCCACTCACTTGGCCACACCCCCTTGACCTTAGCGTCACCTGGATTCCTACCACTTCTGAAATCTTACTCTCCAGTTTACCGCTGCAGTCCTGGTATGGCAGATGCTGAGAGAGGAAGAGAGGCTGTCCCTTTCCTTCATATTAGGTGGGAGATAAACTAAACAGGTGACTCTGCCCTGTTCTTTATGATGTTTGAGAGCTGTCTGCTACCACATGGTTCTATTTACCTAGGAATCCATAATGGAAAATAAAGAAGTGATTAGGAATTGGATGTAATTCCCTTCCTGAATATAGTCATCTTTTCATGTAAAAAAAAAACAAACCCCTAAACAGGTATGATTTCCTTTACAGAGAAGTTTCGCTAGTTGTTCAAAACATGACAAAGGAGGAATGGAAATTGCGACTTTAACTCACTCTTCCTGCCTCATACATGCATAGGAGTAGGCAGGAGACCCCCCGGCTCTCACCTTTAGAGACTGGCCTTTGTGGGCGCTCCCTCCATTTGGACTTACATCACACAGTCTGCCAAGTTTCTTACTGTAGCCCTGGAGGCTGCTCCTAACGCATCGCTAAGTGTGACATCCTGCCACTTTACCTCAGGAAGTCCTACCTGATCTGTATAAGAAATGAGTCTCAGTTGTCAGACCCTTTTTATAACTCATCAGCCTGTGGTACTGCAGGGTTCTGCCCAATATTAACAGGACTTTCCCCTTCTTGGGGTTTGAGAGTTCCCCGGGGGTGAGAGGTGTGCTCTAGCTTGTAAAGCGTTGGGAAGAAGTTAGATGTTGCAGGTCCAGCTAAGTTTCTCTACCAAGGGCTGTGATGAGTTACCTAAAAGCACTAGTGTTAGAGTGTCTTTGTCGATGTCTTTATTCTGTCACCAACTAGGCAGGTGACTTTGAATAAGTTATGTAACCACTTGGAGCCTTAGTTTCCTCACTTGCAACACTTGCAAAATGATGATAGTTACTTTTGTTGCAAGAGTGAGAAATATATATATAAGCTCTTAAGACAGTGCCTGGAACAAAATAAGCCCTCAATAAAAGTTAGCTATCATCACTGTTGTTGTTATTAGTAGTAATAATCCACTTCTCAGGAAAACAGGCACATTTTCCGAGAGCAGTATTCCTTTGGTTCAGTGAAGGTGCTGAATAAATGCCAGTGTGTTAAATGAACCAAGACTATCCTACACTTCTCTATTTCCTGATGCCACGCTTCCCTTCTCCAGGGTCCACAGCTTACTAGTTATTCACATTTTTCATTGTATAGCATACTTACTTGTTTTGTACATAACATTTCACATGTGCCAAATGTGTAAAAATGAAACTTTCTTTATAACTAAACTTAATGTGTCTTATGTTGAGCAAAATTATCCATGGCCTGAAAAATCGGAAAAGCAATCAGTGGGTGTGCAATGATGCCACCGCTTGGTGACTGCAGACTTAGCATTTTCCTGTGGACCCTGCAGGGATTATCTGATTCTGTAGGAAGGTACACCTTTGACAGAGTTTCTATTGATCTGTTTTATAATTCCGTAGGGATAGGTGTTAACTTGTAGAAAACTGATATTAAAGCAAGATTCTTGTCCAAAATGCAAATGAATTTTAGCTAGTAAAAATACAACTGACTTATACTCTGTAGGAAAGATAACCCAAGCATGTTTTATTGCCATAAAAATGTATGATTCATATCTCTTAGCAAATTTGTTTCAGCATTTCTGACTCTCTATATTCTGTCCCAATTCTCCTTTTGAACTTGTCTGAACATCTTACTAGTTCCCTCATTAATGAGTTGAATAAAATCTTTGACACATTGATTTTGTATTTGCATAATTTTTGACCCTTCGAAAATTTTCAGCAGTTCACCACTGGGAAAAACTTAAACTTGCCATTAGAAGTTAACTGTCACTTTTGTTTTTGAATGTGGTAGATAGATTTAGGTTGTGAATTTAGTCAGATCAAAATTCTTTCCCTTCTTTATATCCTTTAAGTTACCCCCAAGTTGATCTTTCCCAATGTGTATATATATATATGCATGTGTTTATAGCACTGAAGAGAAATTTGGTCACAATGCTAACCCCTGTTCTGTATCCTGTATGTTGTATTTCAGGGGTACACAAATTACGGACTCTGGGTCAAATGCTGCCCACTTGTTTTATACACACAATGTATCGCCTCACTCAGTTATGTATTGCCTATGGCTGTGTTTATGCTACAGTAGCAGTGTATTAAGTACAAGTAGTTTTGACAGAGATGGAATGGTCCACACAGCCTAAAATATGTACTATTTCTCTCTTTACAGTCTACTGATCTCTTGTATTGGTTTGCTAAGCTGCCGTAACAAAGTACTACAAACTTGGCAGTTTAAATTATAGGAGTTTCTTGTCTCACAGTTCCGGAGGCTGGAAGCCTGAGAGGAAGGTGTCAACAGGGTTGGTTCCTTCTGAAGGCTCTTGAGGGAGAATCTGTCCTGTGCTTCTGGTGGTTTACTGGCAACCTTTGGTGTTCTTTGGCTTTTGGAAGCATCACCATGATCTCCGCCTTCATTTTCACATGCCTCTTTCCCGTCTCTTCAGTCTTCCCTGTTAATGTCTGTGTCTAAATGCCCCATTTTTATAAGGACACAAGTCATATGGAATTAGGGCCCACCCTAATGACCTCATGGTAACTTTGCTACATCTGCAAAGACCCTGTTTCCAGATAAGATCACACTCTTAAGTAGAGGGGGTATTTCAGCAGCCCTCATTTTTGGTCCTGCAATAGGTTCATGTCTATGGGGAACACATGGCTTTGTTTTCCCTTTTACCCACCCTGTACCTTTTAGTATTTGACTCTTAAGAGCCAGACTGAAAAATGTGATCAGTAACCAGTGAAGGACTAGCACCTTTCAAAACTCATTTACAAGTTTCTCTTAGTCTTTGTAAGGAAACAGTTCAATTCTGACAACTTAATGAAACTCTCCAGTGAAGTTACTAGAAACATGTTTTAAAATGTTGACATAAATGTATAAATAAAAAATCTTTCCAAATATCAGTTTTTCTAATCCAGTATAAAAGGTATACATTATATAAGCTGATTTAGAGGCAAATGGGGTCAGAATTTTTAGAAGTTTAAGGTATATGTGGGATTAGATCAGAAATTTGTATAAATGAACAAATTCAATCTCTTCATTTGAAAAATAAACTGAACTCAAAAAAGAGAATTATTTAATGTCACTCAACTCACTAGTAGGAAGTCCACAACTAGAATCTAGCTGTTTTGATTTATTCTAGTTCTCCCACTATGCTGTATTCTGAATGAAATCATTGCTAATTCTAGACTTAAGGGAATTAGATGTAATTTATCTAAAAGCTTTAGTTTTTTGCAAGGCATTTTTACTATGCACTATTTGTTACTATTTTTATTATGTACACTATTTGCCTTATTTTTTATTAGTTACTATATGTTATCCATAGTTTTGTAGCACAATAAAACAAATACCAGTGAAAACTTTAAGAATTGAAACATTACCAAAAAATATTTTTCCAAAGACTATCTTCTGGTTTGAATATATATACCCAGGGGTTGAATATATTAACAAATGAAATTATTAGCTGATTTTGACTAACAATGAGTTTGGGGCACTTTTAAATATATATGCATGCTGTCCCTGTTAACCTTTACTTGGAGAAGTTCTCTCGAATTGTTTGGGTACAGCCCTGGAGAGCCCAGCCCTGTGACAGACATAAGATGGAAAAAGTCATTGAATGTGCCCGCTCACTGGGCAATTTCTGGTTTTCAGCGATTTATAAAATTTCATTTTTTTCTAGCCATATTTATCACAATTCTTTCTCTAAAAAAATTTTAAAATGTGGTAAAATATAAAATATACATGAAATTTGCCTTTTTAACCATTTTAAATGTACAATTCAATGGTATTAAGTATATTCATGTTGTGATATAACATCACCGTCAACCTCCAGGACTGTTTTACCTTCTAAAACTGACCCTGTACGCATTTAACGGTAACTCTCCATGCCCCCTGCCCCAAATCCTGGCAGTCACCATTCTACTTTGTCTTCATGAACCTACTTGAGGTACTTCATTTAAGTTGAATCATGCAGTATTTACCTTTTTAAAAATACAGAACACTTCACAAATTTGTATGTCATTCTTGCCTAAGTGCCATGCTGACGACCTCTGTATTGTTCCAGTTTTAGTTTGTGCTCTTGTAGTAAGTTTCCTCCAATTTTAACATTACTAACTGCTCAAAAATGTTGAACCACTACTTCTAATAACACACACGCACACACACAAACACAGCTGGGTTGGAAATGGTAAACACCTTGCCTCACCTCTTTTACTTGTAAGATATAAAATGAGAAAGTGTCCCCAAGCCTCCTTCAGACCAGAAATATACATTCTATTTGATATCCCCTCTGAAACCTTCATCTAGTTAACTATTTCGTTTCTCAGTGAAGTTTATACCTGCTTAACTTTTTGGTGATTTCTGTTGGGGAGTTTTATGTAAGCTTTGGTTAGTTACTACATTTTCATCATGGTTTTGTACCCTATGTGCTGTAACTTGAAGGCCTTGAGGATTTGATCTTCTGTAAATCAAGTGGAAGAAATAAATGGTGCTTTATGTGGACCTCAAGGCAAATTGGTATTGTGAGTTAACTATTTCCTGCCCTGAAAACAAGCATTCTCCCTCATGAGAAATACTTTTATTTAATCATTCTATTCTGTATTTTATAGGCTGCTCAAGAAAAAGAAGAACTTCAAAGGGAAGGTGACAGTTTGGATGCTAAGATCAACAAAGCTGAAAAAGAAATCTATGCTCTAGAAAACACCTTGCAAGTCCTGAACAGTTGCAACAACAACTACAGACAATCTTTTAAAAAAGTGACTCCATCTAGTATGTAGGAGTTAACATTTTTACATGAATATATGCAATGAAAGCTGTATAGTTATGTTTGACTGAGTCAGACAAAACGCCCCCCCCCCCCCCCCCAAATAAGTGACCAGGTGTTAATTTCCATTAGTAGTTCTGTTGATACAACATATCACTTCTCTAGGGGATTAATTTCCAATCTGCAGAAAATAGCAGCACATTATCTGCTCTGTGTTGACTAAAAAGAGTGGCTACTACATATTCCCATATTTTTCAATAAGACGATGTAGAGAATTTAACCTTTCATTAGGAAAAAGTGTTAGGACTTTAATATATGTAAAACTTTGATCACTTTCTACACAGTATGGTAAAAATTTAAATTAAAAATTCTGTTAATTCTAGGTGATGAGTATGAACTAAAAATCCAACTAGAAGAACAGAAAAGAGCTGCTGATGAAAAATACAGATACAAACAAAGACAACTGAGAGAGCTACAGGAAGATATCCAGGTGAATTCTACAAGCTCTAGTAATAAGTCCTTAGTAGAAGTCACCTGTCATTATTACCTTTACTTTCTTGTTAGCCTGTACGAAGACAATTTTTTAGAAAAGTAGGTAGCAGGGGATGTCTTATTTAAATGAGAAAAAAAGTAAGTGATTAAAGCATTAAATAGTTAAAATCCCAGTGGTAAGCACAAGGTGGACTCCAGATTATCACCTGTTAATTAGCTGATGAATCACTGCTAAATTATAATCTATTCCTTTTATTTAACGTACTTTTCATTTAATTCTTTAAAAATCACCTTAAAGATTGCTCCATAAAACAAAAAGAAACTGAAAGATACAAATAATCTAGTACAAAGAAGTTACTGAAGCACATCACTGAAAGAAAATAAGATGCTTGGTAAGCAGGCTCTACATAAAATTTAGATTTTTTTTTTTTTTGCTAATAAAGTTGAAGGAAAAGATGAATTGTGAATTTCTGAAAACTGCATGCATTCAATAGTTTTTGAGTTGTTTATTTTTCCAAGTACCATAAAAATACTTATCGGTGGATTTACATACAAAGTTTAATCCACAAAGCCACTATATGTATTACATATGAATAGAATGTATAGTATATACAAAGATAAATGAATTAGGGTTAAATGGATACGTCACAAATAGCAAGTGATAGAACTTATTTTGATTCTCATATTTTAATACTTTATTTTCTGCAGAGCATGGAAAATACTTTAGAAGTTATGGAACACTTAATAAATAATGTCAAAGAAAAATTATTAGAGAAGCAGGCTTATTCACTTCAACTAAGTAAAGAAATTGAGGAGCAGAAGCCAAAATTAGAGAGAGTAACCAAACAGGTATTGATATTGTTAAAAAAAACAAACCCTGACCTGTCATATTTACATTTTTTTTCAAGTTTCAAATGGTAAGCCCAAATCCTCCTTCATTCATTTAAGATATTAAGTTCTGGGAAATAGGTTTATATAATAATGAACTACTGTTGACCAACAGTGTGCAAAACTCACCAAGGAAATCCGTCTTATGAAAGACACAAAAGGTAAAACACTAGAAGAAGATGACATTGACCTTCGTGAATTGAAACAGTTTCACAAGATCATTGATGGAATGTTGGTTGACGTCACAGAAAATGCTGAGATCTGTATTATCCTTCAAACACACTTTCGACAGGTAGTAACTGTACCTTCTTAGTTAAATACATTTCTTAAACACTTCTTGAAGATAATTTATAGCATTCATCAAAGTGCATTCTAATTAAAAATATCCTTCTTCTAAAATGCAGTGGTACTAATGATTGCTATTGAATATTCTTCCAGAATGGCCTAGAACTACCTACAGCTAGTACTAGAGGCAGCTGTCAGAGTTCTAGATCTTCTTCACAGACTTCACTGTTATCAGCAAGGTAAGTGGAAGGTTAAAGAGCCATCTCCTTAACTGCTACCCTTAGTGAACCCAGCCACTTCCACATCACCAAAGTGGTTGGATCTGCCGCCGCTCTCCTCATCCTTACCCACCTGCCTATGTCAGATGCAGAAACGGCCAGCAGAGCAACTTCCTTTCCAACCTAAATCTGGTGCCACCATTTCCATTACGGCTCTGTGACTACCAGTAGGGCGAAGCAGGGAGACCTTTTGGAGGTTACCTCTAGCATGATCAACCCCGAGTGGGGAAGTTTTTAACCATAAAAGGGCAACTTAGATGTAGAGACATGTAAACAGTTGGGATTTGATTTTATTTATGCTACTTTGATGTATAAAAAGGAAATTATTCTTTAGTGTTAATCCAGAATTCTATCATCAGGGATGTTCAGTCAACAGTCTTTGTGTTTTAGTGATAAAATAAAAAGTCCCTGTCTCCTACATTCAGCGGTAACTTTTCATTATTCCATGTTGGGATTTCACAAAAACAAAGGGACATCTTGAAAGATAGGTTTTAAGTAGAAAGAACTGTTTCTACATAAACATGGTAGGCAGTTACTTTAACATCCCTATAACTGTCATGAAACATATTATTTAAGTTTAGCATTTCAGAATTGTATAACTAGTACTGATTTTCAAATGACCCCACCATTTTTTTCTATAAATGGGTCTTACTTTATTTTTTTCATCACCATTTATTTCCCCATACCCTCTTCCATCTCCACTCCCCCCCCCCCCCCCCCCCCCCCCCCCGCAATCCCACAGTTGTCCATGCCCTTGAGTTTATTTATCTTAAAAAAAAAACCCTCAATCTCTCCACACCCCAGCTTCCCTCGCCCGGAGCCATCATCCTGCTCTTTATCTGAGTCTGTCTCTATTTTGCTTGTTACATCCGTTTGTTCATTAGATTTCCACATATGAATGAAATCATATGGTACTTGTCTTTGACTGGCTTATTTCACTTAGCCTAATGTTCTCCAGGTCCATCACACTTCCTAGTATCAAACTATACTACCAGGCCATAGTCATCAAAACAGCCTGGTACTGGCATAAAAACAGACATATAGATCAATAGATCAGAATATGAAAGCTCAGAAATAAACCCACACCGTTATAGTCAATTAATATTTGACAGTGGAACCAAAAACATACAGTGGGCTAAAGATAGTCTATTCAGTAAATAGTGTTGGGAAAATTGGGACAGATGTGTGCAGAAAAATGAAACTAGACCACCTTCTTACACTACACAGAAGAATAAAATCAAAATGGATTAAAGACTTAAATGTTAGACCCGGAAACATAGAAATCCTAGAAGAAAACACGTGCAATAAAATCTCAGATATTTCTTGTAGCAATATTTTTTTTCGGATACATCTCCTTGGACAAAGGAAACACAAGAAAAATTAACAAACAGGACTAAATCAAAGTAGAAAGTTTTTGCACAGCAAAAGAAACCATCAACAAAAGGAAAAGACAACCAGGTAAATGGGAGGACATATTCATCGATGATACATCGGATAAAGGGTTGATATCCAAAATTTATAAAGAACTTATAAAAAGTCAACACCAAAAAAACTCCCCCCAAGCCCTGACAACCCCCCACCCCCATCAATCCAATTAAAAAATGGGCCAAGGCCCTGAATAGACACGTTTCCAAAGAGTACATACAGGTGGCCGGCCAATAGACATATGAAAAGATGCTCAAGTCAGAAATCACTTTCTCCTCTTATGTAATCTATCATTTTAATTACCTTTGACAGTACCCAAATTCCCATGCTCCTGTTACCTTTTATGCTTATGAGTTTTGCAAACTTTCAATGCTTATGATTTCATCCCTAAATTAGCTGAAAACGTTTTCCTTACACATTTGTTAAACTATTTTTCTATTGGTTTAAAATTTATGTTCACTACTCTTCTTTTTCTTAAAAAAACTAATTTGTTGATATTAATGGTCATTTAAAAAATTTATTAGCACTATTAATATTAGGTACTTTTTGCTCTCTTGTGGGATTACGGTATGTTTCATTTTTAATGAGGGGGCCTCTATTAAAATACAAATTTTTGAATTAAATTTACAATAATTGTTTTTTTCTTCTAGGTCATCTAGGAGTACAAGTACTTCTGCTTCTCAGACTTCGATTAATGTATTAGAGCTAACCTTCCCGGCTTCCTCTTCACTAACTGGCAGCGCTTTGAGGCCAACTAGTTCTACCAGTAGCTCCAGTAATGGTAAAAGCAAAAAGAGCAGCAAATAAACACTTTAATCTTTCTTTTGAATAGTAAGCACAAAAACAAAAATTTGACTTTTAAAATAGTAAATTCTACTCTATCCTTTTGGGTGTGGTATGATACAGTCCTACTGAAATAGTGTTAGAAAATGAAATGACCAGACAAGTTTTATCCAGTA